AAACTTGGTTGAATTTTTGGGTGGCAATGTTGGTGGGTCCAGGACGCTTTGTGGACCAGCGCGGCCCACCTGCGTGCCTGCCGCCTGCATGCCCCGCCTGCATGCCCCGCCGCCCCGCCTGCATGCCGCTGCTGCATGCCCCGCCTGCGTGCCGCCTGCATGCCCGCCTGCATGCCGCTGCACCCCCTTCGCCTACGGTGGACACAGCGCGCCCAACCTGCATGGCGCCTGCATGCCCCAGCTGCACGCCGCCTGCATGCCGCCTGCATGTCGACTGCATGCAGCTGCACCCCCTGCGGCGGCGTTGGACACAGCACGTCCCCTTATTTAGCTAGAACCCCTAATGGCTAAAGCTATCTGGGGAATGAATGTTTGCGCCCGGCATCAAAATAATTTGATAAGCATCAAGAAAAAATTGAGGGCCATAAGACTCTAGATCAGCAAGAAAAGAGAGAAGGGGGAATAGTAATAGTAGTAATACGAATACGGACAAGAATGCTAGTAGCAAAAAACACATAAAAACAAGAGCCACAAAGCCAGGGGCCTGTATGTCATGCAGAACAGTCCCGAAAGCCAGGAAAGGCGAAAAGCCAAGAAGCCAGTGGCCTGCGGCTCAAATTACTTTTTTGGTGCTTGTCAAATTACTTTTGATGCTTGCCAAATTGTTATTTGATGCCTTATCAGTTTTTGATGCCTATGCCACAGGCTTTGGGCTTTCCGCCCATCTCCATGCCCATCCCCACCCCAATCACTTGTCTGAATCCATTGCAGCTTCTGTCGCACCAGGGCTGTAGCTTGTAGGGCTGTGGGCATATGCCTGAGCTTAACCCATTGAAAGCCATCATTTGCAATGCTGCAGGTGCCGCAACAATCAATCACCAGTCTGAGAAGCGAACGCCGTCACCTCTCCTTGTGTCAGGGCATCACTCGACCTGCCATTGAAACGACTTTCCCCCCGCAATCCAATGGGCACGGTCTCATCAGCGCAGCTTGTGATAACTGCTGTGCAGCACCGTTTCCGCAACGGACCACCCTCTGCTTGCCATCTTTTCAGGGCCTGCGTTCTGCATGTGCTGCAGGGCAACAAACCAGAGATCCTTGCCATTGCAACTTCGACATGCTTGGGGCACGGCTTCGCGCCATCGGGGTCCAACCTCAGAAGCACGCGGGGGCAGACACCAATGCAGGCCTCACACGAGCAACACTGACAGGATCGGGATTCCGGCGGCAGATAGCCGAACCGTCCTTCCCTCTGCCTGCGGCAAAACTCTGGGGGAAGCAGCAGCATAGGTGGCATTCTCTTCAACCAGGTTTAGGCTGCTGGGATGGTGCTGCATTCTTTGTACAAATCATTGCTTGTAGAACTTCGCCGGTCGTGTTACAAAGTTGACCAGTTGCTAGGGAAGCCTTGAACTTGAGGCGCTAAAGAGGAACAGCGAGGAACAGCCAGGTGACAAAAGGGACCAAGCCTGGGGTCCGAATCCTTCAAAGGCGATCTCCAAGCGCGGCGGGCTTTCCTGACAAGGCACTGCAAGAGTAACAACTGTAATAACATTGGAGATGATAAGAATGTTCATAATAGTAGTAGTAGTAGTAGCAGTAGCAGTAGTAGTAGTAGTAGTAGTAGTAACAATTATAGTCATAACAAGAAAAAGAATAAGAATAAAAATCCGTAGCAATAGTACCAGCAGCCGGAAAAATCGGCTCGGTCACCAGCCGCTTGGGAAACCCTAAACCCTATAAATCCCTACATAACCCCATAGAAACCCTGCAACTCCCTATATGACCCCATGGAAACCCTATAGAACCTCTACATAAGCCCTATATCAACCCCACCCTGTTATAACCACTAAAGCAACCCTAAACCCTAAACCCATCAATGGCCTCGGACACCAGCTGCTCCCCTAACCGCTCCGGCCACTCGACCAGGCAAATGCCTTGCCAAATCGCCTTGCAGCATCTGGGGAGTTTCCCAAAGTTTGGGGTACTTAAAAAAGGTGATAATAGAGGTGGTACAGGGGCTTTATAGGGGTTCTATAGGGTTTAGAGTGTTTAGGGTTTCCCAAAATTAGGGCCGCCTTTCTGGGGGCCCCCATAATTTAAATTTTTGGTGGCTATGAATATGGTAGCTTCCAAAAAGTTAGGGGACCCCAATATAGACCCCCAAATAGTGCAGTCCTTGCTTGCAGACAGCTTGCAGCGACGGGATGTAAACAGTCCCCGCACCCAAAACGCCCGCGTGGAAGGACCGAAAATGCCAAAACTATCTCTGCAAGAGGCAGGATGCTCAAAAACGCGACAGAAATCTGAGCCCGACGAAGTTCAACATTATGCCACCAAACCCTTGTCTCATGAGTTTGGCCCGTGAAAATGTGATGCACGCCTTCTTGAGTTTTAGCACACAAGAAACTAATCATGCCCAAGAATGACTCAGAAATGTCATTTCCTGCTTGAGTAGGGTTTTTTGGTGGTTGAACCTAGTAAGATAATATTCCTTATATGAAGTACTATACCCAAAAGGAGGATAGAATCTTACTCTATATGGAGTACCATTAGTATCCCCAAATCAAATACTACTCACTTGGCCTCGAAGTCGATCAGCGAGGCGATCTTACCAGCTGGAAGTCTGTAAGGGTCAATGTGGTGGACTGCACCTTGGCGGCTCTCAGGGCCGAAGGCACCCCGGAGGTCCTTCTTCCACATAGGGGTTATATAGGGATAATGGAAAAGAAAATGGAAACTACTATAGTATAGGGTTTAGGGTTAAGGGTTTATGGTTTAGGGTTGGGTTTCTACAAGGATAAGGGAAATGAAAATGGAAACGACTATGTTATACTAGGGTATATGTTGGGGTTCGATAGGGAGAATGGAAAAGAAAATGGAAACTGAGACAAGCGCATCCTGGAACCAGTGAGAGGACCTCTGGACTTCCAGCCTGGAAACATTGGGGTTTAGAGTTTTATTAGGGTTTTATTAGGGTTATATTAGGGGTTATATTAGGGTTATATTGGGATAATGGAAAAGAAAATGGAACCTACTATATGGAACCATAATATGGGCAATCATCCCTATATATCCATATATAATCGAGTTTCCATTTCATTTTCCATTTTCCATTTTCCATGTGATTCTCCATTATTGGAGTACTATAAACCCTAAACCCTGAACACAAGAAGTTTCGTGGATTCGCGGAACTTCTTTTGTGGTGGCCCCCTTTATGCCCCAAAGGACTATAGTCCTTGATTTTGACTAGCACCCTAAACCCTGAACACAGCCTTTTTGAGAACCCATCATGTGCAGGCTACCTGGCAGCTCGCCGTGCTTTCAGCTGTGGTGGGTGGTGACGCCGGACCTGTGGACGAAGTCTTTTTTCCTAGTGTCCCCCTTAATAACCCCTATAATACTTCCCTACATAAAATCCCCTCTTGGTACCGCTAAATAATTGGTGCCGTACTACCATTTAGAACCAACAGCGGCCCGCAAGTTTGAGAATAAGCCACTTGCCCGGTAGACATTTCTTGCGACACATCGCTAGTGTCATCCATCAAGCTAAGGATAAGCAACTACAGGATATAGTCCCCGTTTAAGTAGATAGAATATGGCTTTGGGTATGTTATAATAAGATCCCCATATACCCCATATTCTATCTACTTAAGGGGGACTATAGTACCTGCTGATAAACTGGGTTTATCCTCATTACCCTTTAGTGAGAATACCAGGTCCTCAGGGGAAGTGGTTCAAGCTGGTTTGGTAAACCTAACATAACTCTCCAAGGTACTTGAACCGCCCCCTCAAAGATCTTATCAATACAAACCCTTTTTTCTGCGCAGCCTGCGCCTCCATAGGTGAAGTGTAGCCTTGGATTTGCATGGGACTCCGTGCTGCCATCTTGCCTTCCCCCAGCTGCCATAAGAGAGGCTTCTCTGACTGTGCTAGCATGCACCGCTTGGCTCAAGACAACTTCATGTATTCCAAAGCATCTGTTCGTTCTGAACACATGTACATAATCTGTCAGCCTCCCTTTAGCGAGTCCTGTCAAGTTTATTCTGAGATCACATGAAGGGTTCTGGAAATTAGGAGTACCATTTTGGGGTTCCCCATCATAAGGATTATAAACCCGATTTTTAATGTTTGGGGGGTCTATATTGGAGTCCCCCTTTTTTCAGGAAACTACCACATGCAGCAGCGCAGCAGGTAAGATGGCGATGGCACATCCAAGGACGGGTTCGCAAAGAAGGCCCGGAGGAAGCCCCGGGCCTCGCTTTATCTGAGCTATAGGGTTTAGGGTTTAGGGTTTGTTGGGTTTAGGGTTTAGGGTTTGTTGGGTTTAGGGTTTAGGGTTTGTTGGGTTTAGGGTTTTGGGTTTAGGGTTTGTTGGGTTTGTTGGGTTTCTGGTTTAGGGTTTAGGGTTTAGGGTTGGGTACTGCCCCCACCCAGGTAACAGTCTAATTAGGGGTCCTATTAAGGGCTATATATAACCATACTATAATTATTATCCAACTGTTACTGAGGGGGGGCAGTACCCAAGGTTTAGGGTTTAAGGTTTAGGTTTGTTGGTTTTTAAGGATAACGGAAAGAAATGAAAACCATTATCTAAGGTTTATAGGGGTTATCTTGGAGCTATATAGGGGTCATATATGCCTGGAACTGCTGGGTTGCTGTAAAGGACCTTAACTAAGCCATCATATTGGCGAAACCCTATCATTTACTATATACCCATATTATGGTAACTTAATCTAAGCTAACTGTAGTGTGGAAAGCCTATAATTTACTACGTACCTATATCATGGTAACTTAACTTAAGTACCTTAACAGCAACCCAGTTCATGACCAGCCCACGGCACAGGAAGTCTGCACGCAACAGTGCAGTTTGGTGGGGCGGCTACATGTGCAGCGCATCTGACAGAACAACAGAGGGCCACACCAGCGAAGTTTTCCCTGACCCGAGTTCTCCACGAAGGAAGAGGACGTCACCTGCCGAAAACCATGTGTGTCAAACAGGGGTGACCGCCCAGCAGCAGCGCACACACCCATGCAGTGATCAAACAAAACACAGCAACTTCAAGCTGTTCAGCTGAAAAAATCAAACAAGCTCTTGCTGCCCCCGCCTTTCTGCACTTCGTGCGCCAGGGCCGCGCCCAAGGCTTCGGTAGCATCCACGTCCAACCTGAGCCATGCGTGCCTCATGGCCATCGCTTTGCAGAGAAGCTGCTTGGCCGAGCAAACGTTTCATCAACTCGGCAACGTGGTGGACCCAAGAATCTCCGCAGCACTCCGGTCACGTGTTTCAAGGCGTCGTCAGGTCAAATCTTGCACTTGACAAAGGAAAATGTTTGCGGCATTGCTCAGCGTTCTCTGAGTTTTGGGCGGTTGAAGTTTGCATTTGGCTCTGTGCATACAGATGGTTCCAGCTGCAAACTATCTTGAATGTTCCGTCCACTGGCCCCTGTGGCAAGCCACGCTGGCACGATACGCTTCTCGCTTGTCATGGGAATGAGATGAAGGTCGATCACGTGTCTCAGACCTAAACTGGATTTTTGGGTTTAGGCGGATTATGTGGGGGTAATGGAAAAGAAGCTGGAAACTAATAAGGTATTTGGAGATATATTGGGATAATGAAAAAGAAAACGGAAGCTACTATTTAGGGTTTAGGGGCTGCTCCGAGCAGCACCCAGGGGACTGTCACGCTGCTCAAAAGCCCATGCATCATGGCAAGCAAAACATGTACTTAGCATGAAAGGTAATTATTGGTGATGTGCCCTTACAATTTTTCGAGGAGCATCCGCAGTGATGAAAGTCCTGTTTTTCACCTCCACCTCCACTTTAGGTTTGGGCTTGTTGAACGATCCACCTAGCAACCCGTCAACTAGACTCAAGCCCTCGAAGCCTTAAAGCCAAGAGAGATCCCGTCTGAACTTCTAAACTTCCCGGAAATCACGAGACCGATAAGGCGGATTTTGGGCAGTGCGATGAGACAGGCGCAATGTTCAGAAGCTGCCTGTAAGCTTCCATATAAGTCTTTGGCTTCGGCATCTTCGTCTGGCGGACAAACCGAAAATGGGAGCATAAGGAGTGCGGCGTGAAAAACCGGCAGCAGCGGCACACTTCCATACACCTCCTATACCGCCTCACCCGCGTAAGGTGCAGAAAGGCTGGCAGCACAGTGAAACAGAAAGACTTCTGAGAATCGCCCACATCACGTAGCCAAGCCCAGCTTCCTTGGCGCCATGCTGAGATCACAAGCTAGTCAGGATTTAAGGTTTAGGGCAAATCTTGCAGGCCATGATGGCCTCATGCTGTGAGGCCACCCCTGCGCTGGCCCTCTTAAGTTTCAAACCAACATCTGTCAGCTACATGGTAAATTTACGTAAACAGAACCCCAACATAGCCTCCAAAATGTCAAAGTCCATATTATCGGCACCCAAAAAGGTACCCCTAATTTGGGGAAACCCCCACATCTGGGTCAGCTAGAAGGGCAAGAGCCCTCAGTCCTTTTCAAAGGGTTTAAGGTTTAGGGGTTTTAGGTTTAGGGGCTCACCAAAAAGGGATCCCTAATGTTGGGAAACCCTAAATCCTAAACCCTCCATAAATATTCCCTATACATCCCTTATGTATTTTGTATACAACCCCAAATTTGGGAAACCACCAAAAACCTATATGTCCCTATATTTGCCCTGTATAGCCGCCCTATAGCCCCTATAGAATCTATGCTGGCATGGGGCACCAGAGTATGTTACAGTATATTACGGCATAAGATACTATAATATATTATAGAATATTACAATATAGCAAAATATGTTGTAGCATATAATAGTGTAGCAAAATATATTGTAGTATATTATGATATAATATTTTTAGAACTGCAGAGCTAGGCTCCCAAAGGGCAGGTTACCGCCGGCGGCTCCTCGAGCGTCGTCGCTGTGTATTTCGCTGCCTTGCTGCCTTGACTTGGGGGTTTCCCAAAATTGGGGGTACCATTTTGGTTGGTCCCAAATAATAATAACTATCAGATTTTGGGTCTATATTACGCTTCCCTTCTTTGGGAAACTGCAACTTGTGCTTGTGCTCAGAAGCACTGGCAGGCAGATGCAACGCAATGAAATACTTGAGGAACCCATGCTGCTTCAGGGACGGGCTACCCTAAACCCTAAACCCTAAACCTGCAACATGACAAGGCCGCAGTCAGCAAACTTGGGCTCTTGCCATCGGTTTAACGCCTCCCTTCGAATTCTAGCAGCTGTGTGTCCAGTCCTTCCTGATAAGTATACCAACATCTCTTAGCTCTTGACCTTTTTGCGGCTTCAAACGGTGCACTCTCAGATTGGGTGGGCATCTTGCCATGTCTTGCGTGTTCGTGTCTTGCCAAGGAAAGGCCATCCATGGCACGAACTAAGCAGTCAGCCGTTCGGGATTCCTCAAATATCCCACCTGTCGTGGAGCACTAGCCCAATTCCGCACCCCACCCACACCGCATACAAGAAAATTCAACACATTCCATCACCACATCAGCGTTCGCTGAATCTTGACATGAGGATGCAGGACTTCCAACTCAGAAGCTTGAAGGGAAACTGCCGAATTTGGAGCTGGCACCAGGGAGCATGACCACCAAAAGCTTTGCGTCTGCCAAGCCACGCCTTGCGAGCTCCCTTTCAGCACCATCCTTGTGATCATCACAACTAAACCTGCACTGCATGCCTTCGTGTCTCGCATAGCAGCTGCTGCAAGAAAAAAGCTGGGCGGTGTTTTTTTTAAAAAAAAAATTAAGTTACTATATTGGGGAAACCCTATTATTTACTATATATACCCGTAGTTTCCATTTTCTTTTCCATTATCCCAATATAGCCCCAATATAAACCCCACTATATACCCTATATAAACCCTATAATCCCTATAGTTTCCATTTTCTTTTCCATTATCCCTGGTACTCCTTGTCAAGCTAAGGGTCTCTTGTTGGTATTCAGTCGTCAACTCCGCGGTCATGCTGCCACCACTATGAGGAATGTTGAAGACATCCTGGTCTGACTAAACCCTAAACCCTAAACCCAGGAATGTTGAAGACATCCTGGTCTGACATGGATGCCCAAAAAAATGGTGAGAGCATTTTATTGTGCATCAAACATCCTGGCCCTTGGGCTTCAGTCATAGTACCACGTGTTTCCTGGTGAATTCTGCAATCTAAACCCGAAACCCTAAACCCCAAATAGTAGTTTCCATTTTCTTTTCCATTATCCCAATATATCCCCTAAACCCTAAACCCTAAGCCCTATATCTCAATATTATACCCCTATGTAATCCCCTATATAACCCCCCGAGTTCCCACCTTGTCTTGACACCCGCTTTGCTACTGGGTCCTGTCCCATGCAACCCACGGATCCTGCCTGGGCCCAGCACTTCGACCTATCCTACGCTGGCCTACCTCAATCTGGCGTGCGTTGCCGCAAGTAGGTCCTAGCCAACCCCCAAGACCCAACCTTCCTCTGGCGGGGCAATCTCAAACCCTATAGTCCCCCTCAAGTAGATAGAATATGGCTTTGGGTATATTGTAATAAGATCCCCATGTACACCATATTCTATCTACTTAAGGGGGGCTATTAACCTACCCTGAAGCAACTCCATCTGCCTTACCCTACCTCATCCTACTTAGCCTGCGTACTCAAACTTAAATTTCTAACGCGGGCTACCCCAGGCCATCCAACCTACTAGAGGCTGGCTGACCCACCCTCAACTACTCCAATCTACCCTGATCAGGGTTTAGGGTTTAGGGTTTAGGGTTTAGGGTTCGGTCCTCACCTACAGTACCCCAACCTACCCTACCTACTTTACATGACCTATCCTTGCACACCCAAACTTGACCTAACTGAACTTTCCTCATCCCACGACCCGGACCGTAGCGAACCTACCCGAACATGAAGGCACATCATGATCATCAGAGCTCAAACCTAAACCCTAAATGGTAGCTCCCATTTCATTCTCCATGTTCTTTCCCATTTAATTCTCCATTATTTGGTAGTTTCCCAAAATACGTAATAAGGGGACCCCAATATAGACCCAAAATACTATAATCCTTATTATGGGGACCCCAAAAAAAGGTACCCCTAATTTTGGGAAACCCTCAATGGGACAAGTGAAGCAGGCCATCCCAGCAATGTCAGCTGGAACACACCAGACTTCCTGATTTCAGCTCCTAGGACCCTAGCAGAAGCCAGAGATGATGGAAGAATCCCCCGCTCATTGTAAGACCTCCCTCCTCCCAACAGTACAGTGCGCGTGCAAACCGGGACCAATAACTGATTGCGAGTGCGTTGGCACACTTGGCACACTTGCTCGAGCGTCGGGATAATTAAGCGATTGCTACCACTTGCCCTACTTGCAACACACTTGACCCACTTGACACGCTTGCTCTTGCAACACACCTGACCCACTTGCGACGCACTTGACCCACTTGCGACGCACTTGACGCACTTGCGACGGACTTGACCCACTTGCAAGGCACTTGACCCACTTGCGACGCACTTGACCCACTTGCGCCGCATTTGCCACACTCGATCCACTCCCTTCCCAGCTGCCGTAGTCGTCCAAGGTCAAGCGGGGCAAGTGTGGTGCAAGCGGGTCAAGTGTGTCGAGTGTGCTGCGAGTGGGCCAAGTGGGGCAAGTGTGCTGCAAGTGGGCCAATTGTGTCGAGTGTATTGCAAGCGGGTCAAGTGTGTTGCAAGTGGCTGTATAAGCCTGAATCCACTTCCCCAAAGTCTCCCTCAAAATAGATAGAGTTTGAGGGAGACTTTGCGTGAGGCGGCAAGCCAGAAAATGCTGTCCGAAGTGGGTCACCCGGGTCAGGCGGATCGCCAGCAGACAGGAGGCTGTAGAAGCCTTGAAAATCGCAGCAGTCTCTCACACAGAAGACAGTCTGAGGGAGACCTTTCTGGTGGGACGACTGGGTTGCCGCTTGCGGCCCACTTGACCCACTTGCAGCACACTTGGCCCACTTGTGGCCCACTTGCCCTACCTGGCCCACTTGCAGCCCACTTGGTCCACTTGACCCACTTGCAGCCCAACTTGACCTACTCAGGGACGTGGACCAAGTGTGTCAAGTGTGCCAAGTCTGCTGTAAAAGCAAGTTTGCCAAGCGTGCCAGCACACTTGCAATCGGTTAATCTATCCGGAAAAGCAAGTGTGCCAAGTGTGCCAACACACTTGCAATCGGTTAATGGTTCCCACCTGCGCTCGCAATGCAACCGTAACTATGCCTAGTCCCCCTTAAGTAGATAGAATATGGGTTTGGGTATTTTGTAGTAAGGTCCACATATACCTCATATTCTACCTACTTAAGGGAGACTATTAGGAATATTTGCGTGTCATTGTATTTGTCACTTCTGAGAGGTGCTTAATTGCTGGTAGTGCTGTGAAGTTTATGGCAGTCAGCCCTCATCAAAGGCTGCGGAATACGGAAGGCTGAGCTCGATGCATCTTTGTGAAAAATGACAGCGCAACACCATATGAGCTATAGTCTAAACTCCTAGCATCCCCCTTAATAACCCCTATAGTAGTCCCCTATATAATCCCCTATATAACCCCATTTAAGGAGTTTAGACTATAGCTCATATCGAAACACATACACCATGCACACACTGGGGGTGCTTTGGGCTGAAGCTCCAGAACTAGCTGGAGTCAGGATCGCCCAGGAGGATTTAGAGCCGGGTGTTGATGAAGAGGCTTCAAACTTTGATGTTTAGGGTTTAGGGTTTAGGGTTTCCAGTGTGGTGCAGGTATCCTAGTGCTGACCCAAAAAAACCCAAAGAGACAATCACCAAGCCAGCTTAGTGGTGGTTAGTAGGGAGTAAGGGAATGACGTCACTGCATGATCCTATACGTCCATAGTCTTTTATCCCTAAACTCTAAACCCCAAATAGTCGGATTCGAACCTTGCTATCCCGTCCGTTCCATGCAAGTGGCCAAAAAAACGAAATAGTAGTTTCCATGCTCTTTTCACGTATCCCTATATAATCCCCATAGACTATATTTCCTTATTCCCTGCTAACCACCAGTAAGCCAGTCGCCTGCACTATTACATGCATGCGGCCACGCAGGATCGAGCAGCTTCATGGCTTCTGGCCTGGATGATGGCATACCTGCAGGGAAATCTCACACCATCGCAGCTATAGGTTTTAGGATTTCTTTCGGGCTTAGGCAAAGGGATTATAGGGTTTAGACACGCGCATCGCACAGCGATTATAGGGTTAAGGGCTTAGGGTTTAGAGCTTACACTCTAACACCATAGGGACTGTAGTGTTTAGGAATTAGGCGTAAGGATTAGAGAGTACGATGGAATACCTTCAGGGACATCTTTTCCCCAAAGGCACAACTGGCTAGGGCTTGGGGGGTCAGGGGGGCTTAGCAATAATGGAAAAGAAAATGAAAACTACCAGGTAAGCTATAGTCTAAGTTCTTAACATCCTCCTTTATAAGCCCTATGATACTCTTATATATAATCCCCTATGTAACGCTTTTTAAGGAATTTAGACTGTAGGTCAGGTTACTTAGGGTTTAGGGTGGTTTAGACTTCAGGGTGCTTACTGGGATGCTACAAGTAGGGGAGATGCCCGTCCTGCCATGCTGCGGGTGATGCCCAATCCTTGGATCTGTTCAGTTCATACCCTGTTAGGGTTTAAAGGTTTAGGGTTTAGGGTTTAGGGTGCTTACACTTTCAGACTTCTATCCATAGCATAAAGCATGGGATCTCAGTTGTCAAGCTTTTGAAGCAAGAGGCTGTGCCTTCTCGATGTCTTTGCCCATGTTCTTAATGTCACCTTCATCCTCTATGTCCTGCGGAAGAAACAAGGAATCAAGTCCAAAATGTGCTCAAGCTTGATCTGACCTGTTCATCCTGCCCTTGCCCAGCTATTGAGTCCTCTGGCACGTTCTTCACGAAGACTAGGCATGTTTTACTCTTCTCCAAGAGGTTCCCGAAATCATCTTCTGAGATGACTTTCGCCTGAGGCAGCAAGACTTCTAAGCCCTCAAGGTTCGGGATTAACACTACACCCTACACGCATGGATCGAGGTTTAGGGTTAAACTTAAACCCTTGGTGTGGGGTTTAGGGCCGAGTAGCCCCAAACCCTAAATCCTAAATAGTAGCTTCCATTTTCCTTTCCATTATCCCTAGATAACCCTTAATTTTGGGAACTACCCGTATGGTCTTAGGGCCAACTAGCCGCTCTAAACCCTAAACCCTAAACCCTAAGCCCTAAACCAACCCCTAAGATCTTCAGCAGGGTTTGGCCGCCTTCATCTTCGGAATTCCCACCTTCCATTTTTCAATGGCAGCAACAAGAGCTTCGGCCTGACCAGAAGGGTTTAATACTTTAAAGAAAGAAGGAATCTCTAAGGGATTTGGAACCCCAGTAGAAATTATAATTTCAGCTAAATATTAGGATTCTAGGTAACAGAAATTAAAAATTGTTTTCAGGAACCTTGTAGGCATACCTTGCAGGAATTCGTGGTTTAGGGTTTAGGGCTTAGGGTTGGAATTTGGGGTTTAGGGTTTCGGGTGCCTGTCTATTCCCTGTTCCCATTGCATACTGTTCTTAGTACTGCTTCTTAGGAGGGAATATGGGAATATATTACATAAATACACTTGGGGTCATATTCCCTTATTCATTCCCTACTAACAAACAGTAAGATTGATCAAAACTCACGACCCTTTTCCGGCCTGAGGAATCGCCTTCGTTTCCAAGACCGCCGTCTGCACGTCCTTGCAAACACGAAGTCTAGTTCAAGATTACTTGGCAATGGTTCCCTGTGGTGGTAGTCTTCTGTCCCCCTCATAGTAGTCTCTGTGACTCAGTATCACACTCCCAACTAAGCACAAGCAGGAGACCACGAGAAGCACTGCAAGGCAAGCATCCGCACCGCCAGCCGTAGATGCAACCATGACTAGCTGGGCTCCCACAGGCGCCATGTCTGAATTGGATCCTCCGGCTTTCTTCACAAACCTGGGATTCTGCAATGTTATCCAGCATGAATCTGGTTCGGCTGTTGTGATACCTGCTTCTTGATCCTCAGTTTGAGGACTTATAACTTCGCACGACAACACCAACAATGCCAGTATGAACTGAAGCACCATTGGAGCGGCTTCTTGACGACGTCAGGAGGCAGATTCCACACCTGAACGAACCGCAGGTCCACCTCTGGCTTGGTCTTTCCGCATCGCGTGCATTGTAAGAGATGCCCGAACATGGACGTCCCACAATTCTTGCAAGTCCAGATTGGCTTGATGGCAGCCGATTCCTTAGGATGCTAATCTCAAGCAACCAACACCACGCGGACATTACAAGCAAACGGGCGCAGCTGAAACATTTTCGCTCCTTCGAGAACCTGATTCTCGCAGGGTGTTGAAAACTGACATTGACATGCGTTGTTGTGAAATCAGAGTGAAGCCACCCGCATTTAGCTTCGAGTTCATGACATGAGCTTAATGCAAGCGCAACCAACCTCTCAAGTGGTTGCTTGGAGTTTGGCTCAGGGCTGTAGCATTGTGCGTGCTTTGGCGTCTCGGGCGAAGCTTCAAGGGCACACTTAAATTTGACTTCTGCCGCTGCTTCTGCCGTTGCCGCCGCCGCCGTTGCCTGTTCTGCTGCAGGCGAGGATCCAGTGTTGTTCTGGCAGTTTTGTAAGCGAAAACTGGAGAGACTAGCGTGCAAACTTGCTACCGCGCGATGGTAGTTTTCTTTCGAGCTTTTCCAGGCCTCGAGATGCGGATGCATGCCTTCAGGTGGCCGAGGGCTGATGCCATCGACAAAGGTCTTTCAAGGTACTGGTGCTTAAGGGTGAGTGGGGGAGAGAAAGAATGTAGGTACCATTGAAAAGGGTATATGTTGGGATCACATAGGGATGATTATGGAGGTTCACTCCCCCACTCTCCCAGGTCACCGGGAGTAGCTTGACCATTCTGCTCTCCCAGCACGACTAGACAGGGACCCCATAATCAGGAGTTCTGTTATTGGGCAGCTTCCCACCCCGTAATGAGGAGTCCTGTTATTGGGCAGTTTTCCTAGCAAATCTTATAAAAATCCACTGATGGAGATCATCGGGGCAGCAGCCTGGATATGCGTGATCAGTTTTGCAAGTATGTTCTGAAGCCTACCTATGAAGGCCTCCAGGCCATACAAGGCGGGCTTCAGACACCAACATCTTCGAGCACAAATTCTGACAATTTGCGCGGCTTGCTTCACTTCATGTCGTGTGCTTGCGCTGCATGGAGTGCAGGGGCGCACCGGCCTAGACTAGATTAAAACAAGTCGCCACTTCGTTTCCTCCTGCACAGCCTCCGTTGAAGGGCTGGCCTGCAGTGTGCTCGGCATCCTCAAGTCCTGCCAGCTGCACTGAAGCTTCTGTCCACAGTGTGAAACTAGTTGTGTCGCCTAAACAATTCAGCTTTGTAGCTATGCGTTACGCAAGAGTGAGAAACTGGGTTGGCCCCTAAAACCCTTTGAACAATATTAGTATATAGGGTCCCTTATTAAAGCCATTAGGGAAGATATTAAATATCCCAGGGGCCTACCCAGGAAATCAAGGCTTCAACGAAGCTTCGGCAGGAGCTCCTCTGCTTCTTCTTGAGGAGGTTGCGTCACTTTGCCGCCCGCCGTTGCTGCGGCTTCCATTTAGCCGTTCAGCTTCGCGGGGTCTCGAGTCGCTGTCACGACGGCCTGGCCCTCGCTTCGGTTCACGATTTCGAGACCTGGAGGCGTGACAAAATGGGGGTCCCTGGGACGTTCTATAGACATGGGATTGCAGGGAGATCCCGAGAATCCCTAGTAAGGCTTCTAGACTTCTACTTATGAGGTCAGAGGGGCGTAGAAAGTATACTCATATTATGATTTCCATAAGCCCTATACTAACCCCAGTTCTGCCCATTACAGGGTCATTCAAATCATGGACTAATCCCCCTGAAACTTCAAGCACGAAACAATAGACCCTAAAACCCTAAACCCCAACCCACTAAACCCTAAACCCCAACCCACTAAACCCTAAACCCCAAAGCCTAAGCCCTTAACCCCAAACCACTAAACCCTAAACCCCAAACCCCTAAGCCCTAAATCCCAAACCATTAAATCCTAAACCCCAAAACCCTAAGCTCTAAATCCCAAACCACTAACCCTAAACAGCAAACCCTAAACCTCGCTGCTTTAATCCCAATATACTATAGTAGTTTCCATTTTCTTTTCCATTATCCCTGTATAACCACAATATACTATAGTAGTTTCCATGTTCTTTTCCATTATCCCACTATGACCTCAATATCTTCCCTATAATCCCTATTATGGTCATAGAATCCTAACCTGCTTTAAACCCTAAACCCTGAACCCTAAACCCTAAACCCTACACCCTTAAACCCTAAACCCTAAATCCTAAATCCTTAAACCCTTTACAGAAGCACCAACCTGGAGTCCTTTGCAGGTGCTCGTCTCCGGTCGCGTCTCGCATCTCGTGGTCGTCTCTCCTTGGGACAAAGCAGAGACTTCCACACCAGTACTGGGGTTTAGGGTTTAGGGTTTAGGGAAAAGAGAATGGAAACTACTATAATGGGTTTAGGTTTAGGGTTTGGGTTGGGGTTATATTTGGATAGTGGAAAAGAAAATGAAAACTACTATAGTATATTGAGGTAATACTGGGATAATGGCAAAGAAAATGGAAACTACAACAACCCCCTAAGTCAACAAGAAGTGTTTGCAAAAATAGTACCATGGCAACCATGGCAAAATGAAGGGAAGCAACTATTACGGGGATCTGTGATTCTTAATGGAGGAGCTGATTCATCTGAAGCTCTGTGGTTAGAGCTTGAGCTACTGGGTTGCTGTTAGGGAACTTAATTTAAGTTACCATAATGGGTATATATAGTAAATAATAGGGTTTCCCCAATATAGTAACTTAATTTAAGTTCTTTAACAGCAACCCAGGCTAGTCTCTTCTTCTTCTACTGGCCAAGTGAGACCCCACGGGGGTTACACCCCCTGGCCGCGCGAAGGTCACTGTCGTTTGGTCACCCCCGCAAGGACCGGCAGTTTCCCCATTCTCTTCCCACATTCATCCCCCACGAGGAGTAGACTAGTTCATAGACTGGGGACCGGAGCATGTGGACCAAGAATGAAGCACTCCCCTTCTCAAGCGGTTGGCGAAACTTATCTCGCATTCCGTCATGTAAACCGATAGTTAAGGATAAACTCCACAACGTTGTGACCCCCAACCCGACTTGCGCATGCGAGGTGAGCCACGTCCCCCTTCCCACTGCACTGCGCTCCTGGAAATGCTGCAAGCTATACATGGGATGTGCTGTCCTGTGATTGCAGTCGGGAGCTATCCAATGCTATGACACTTGGTGAACAGTAAAAGCGAGAGTCAACAGCAATCAAGAAAATCCCTCTCGACCACACGTTTCGACACTGCCGGCACCTTGCTTAAAATGACAGTGGCAGATCACATCTCCATACATCCCCATATAAACCATATCGAATCCTATAAACCCCCATGTCAACCTGCACGTAATGGTTTCCATTTATGCTACTTCTGGAGCATAGGCCCCAGGAGCTTAACCCAGTAATCCCTCTCCTTTTAAAAGCCTCCTGCCTCCACCCCTTTCAAGAAAACAGTTTTCCCCTTCGGGTATAGACTATAACGGCTTGGGAATTCTTGATATTGTCAGGGTGGCGGGTTTGAACATCAAGCGGGGGTACCTTTCAAGGTTCCTAAAAAGAGAATGATAATGTTTGGGGGGTATAATCCGTATATGAGATGGACCCCCCCATGGAATTCCTAAACCCTAAACCCTAAACCCTAAACCCTAAATTCCCTTTTATGACTGCAAGCTAGGGGGCTCTGCTGTCATCGCGGCTGTCGCTGCGACGTCCCATGAAAAAAGGGGTCCTTTGCATCGGGCCACGCGTGGAATGAATTACTCACGGCCTACACATTTCCTAAATGTAGTCCCTGTATGACCCTCTAAACGCTATTTACAATACAATCTCTGTAATCTCATCCTGATGTAAACGAAACACCGCCCCCCACCTGATGTCTGGCCAAGCGCGACAGGCCCATTCGAAGCACGGTACAGGCGGGCTCTGTTACACCAACTCTATGGAAAGCACAAAATTCTTGCAGCGGAGGAGTTTGACCCCTATAAATCTTTGTATATAACCCCTATTTGATCAGTATATAACTCCTATGTAACCTCTATGTGGTCCCCATATGATCCCGATCTTCAAAACAGTGCCGAGGCCAAACTTTGAACTGTCATTGTTTGGATAGCTTTGACTATTGATGACTTTCATTTGGTACTGCAAACCCTAAACCCTAAACCTGCCCTAAACCCATTTGGTACTGCAAACATTGAGCCACAGCTTCAGTATCCACAGCTTCTTCCCACAAGCTTGAAGGGCAATGGGATATGATATAGCATAATATACATGTAGTCTAACGCTGAGGCTGGCACAAGCTTACTTCCAGGGATTCGTTGGTACCTCCTGGCATAGCACCTCGGCACCAATGGTTCCACAAGGCATCATTTCATGCTGTCCAGAAAACTCGAACTTGCAAAAGCCAGCCTGTTTTGAGCATGCACGATTGCTGCTGCGTTGCAGCTGCAGTGAAACTTGGGTGCCACCCCTTTTTTCAATTGGGGATGGAGATCGCTTGTAGATTCCACTGCATGCCGAACCCGTACTTCCAACAAGTGAGCTCCTCTATGATAACGCAAATGCTTCGCACTGTGTGAAACTGGCTTGGGAGCTAAAGCAAGGCCACGGCTGAAGGCTGGACATCAGCGGGCAGCTGCTGGTCGCTGTTCCTCCAAAGCGTGAATCTCTTGCTTGAACCTGAGCGTCGGGTCAGCTTTAGATTATGTTATGTTCTACTATACTGTATTATACTATGTCATACTGTATTATACTCTATTATATCATTCTGTACTACATTCTGCTATAGTATACTATAGGTCAAACTGGGCTCCAAATAAAACCATCCATCAAGGACGTGGCTCCATGACCTCCCGGTCGCGCAATTCCTCCTTGATGTCCAGAGCCCGGAGCTTGGCAAGCTCCTGCAATAATGGTAAGGGTTTAGGGTTTAGGGTTTAGGGTTTAGGGTTTGGGGTTTAGGGTTTGGGGTTTGGGGTTTGGGGGTATGGTTTAGGGTTTAGGGAGCCCCCATGCCGCCTCGCATGTTTATCTCCTGCGCCATTATGCCAACTTGGCTTTACGCAATAGTACTAGTATTCCTCTTTTTAATTGTATTACTACTATTACTATTATTACTGTTACTATGGTAGTCCGTACACACTCCCCCTACATCTTGTATAACCCATTGTGGTAGTTTCCATGTTCTTTTCCATTATCCCAAAATAACCCCGACATAATATACCCCTATCTAACCCAGGGACTAGTATTACTATTATTACTGTTATTACCATTATTACTATGACCCTGAACCCTAAACCCCAAACCCCAAACCCTAAACCCTAAACCCTAAGCCCTAAACCCTTACCATTATGACTACTATGGGGGAGCATTCAAAAAGTCTCAGCCTCCAAGTGTTGAAGCTGCTTGTCGAACCTCAGAAGCACGTCAAATCCCTAAAGGGATGCACCAATCAGAACAACTGAAATGCAGCACTACTATAGAGTTTAGGGTTTAGGGTTTAGGGTTTAGGGGTTAGGGGTTAGGGGTTAGGGGTTAGAGGTTTAGGGTTTGGGTAGGGGTTATATTGGGATAATGGAAAAGAAAATGAAGACTACTATAGTATGTTGGGGTTATATTGGGATAATGGAAAAGAACATGCAGCACTACTATAGTATGTTGGAGTTTTATTGGGATACTGTAACAGAAAGGTGGCACTGTTCCAAACAACATCCTCTGAGTGCTGCTTGGCAGCTCCTTGATTTCAGAGTCTCGCTCTTCCTCTTGCTTCTCCTACACCCAGCCACTGACCATGTACAAAACAACTATAGACGGGGACACCGAAAACATGTCCCCATATGTAAACCCCTATATGTACCCTGATTTACCCCTTATACATAGACCTATATAAGCCCCAGATAACCACCAGGTTCCAGATTGAAGCCTCCTCCTGCTGCTTGGCTAAATCAAGAAGCTTGGTGAGGGATTTCACCTCGGTTCGTTGATTGGCAAAAAATGAATGGGCCTTCAGCAGTGCAGGCACGAGCTTTAGGGGTTGGTGGGTTTAGGGTTTAGGGTGTAATCGTAAAAAAAAATGGTGGGTTCGAGTTTGGGGTTCTTGAAAGTCTTCCGCCGATTGCCCCTTGTTCAGCTGCAAAGGCGACAACAAACAATCCGTCAGGTTCCATGATTTGGGGTCATATTGGGGTTCTATTGGGGATATATAGGGATAATGGAAAAGAAAATGGAAACTACTATAGTATATCAACTTGAAAATGGCCCACCCGTAAACACGCCAAACCACCAAACAATGCCATGTGTCAGATTCATCGCGCCGTCGAAGTTCAATCACCGCCTGCTTGTACTTCTCTTCTGCAGCTTCCTGACATCATAGCATGGGGAGAAGGCCACATTTGCTCCCCAATCTGCCAAGTTTCTGCACGTCTTTGCTCCACTTCCAGCCGTGCTAGTACCTGTGCAGTCTGGACGGGCGCACTGCACTCAACCACAAGGCGCACGCTTAGCACACAGAGTCATTGCTCCGCGCATCCTTATCTTAGGCTCTGATGTGCCACCACTAAATACACCGCAAGGAACAATTGCCCCCCTTAAGTAGATAGAATATGGCTTTGGGTATATATTCTACCTACCTAAGGGCGGCTATAACCATTAACCAACATACAGCGGCAGAGCAAATCTTTGGGGCTGGCTTCATCGAGAATGGCTTGTGGACTGCAGCATTGAACTGACTGATCACAACCTTCCCAGCATGGGCCAATGGCCAAGGTTAAACACTGCTGGCAGCGATGCATTCAAGGACTTCGCAACACCGTAAGCTTGCTGCATATGATGCCGTCCGTAATTGAAAGCGGATGCACCTCGTGGCAGTGAAACATGACCGGAAACAGGCCAAAGCCAAAATGCTTGAAACTCTTCTAATAAGAGCAAGGACCGTAATCATAGTAATGCAATCTCTGGTAAAAACTATAGTAATACTGATAATAATAACAATAATAATTATCATTTAATGCCCGTGATAGTAATATGAAGCCCGGGGGCGGCAGTTCTCCGAGTTTCCCCGACTAAGAGTTCAGCCTCGCAGCACCAGCCCAGCACAAACACTTTCGTGCACTGGAGAGGTGCAAACACGAGCTCACTGCTACATAAGGTTTTCCAAACAAGAAGGCGGTCCTTTGTTGGGAGCCCCTATCAGAAAGATTGTGGCGTTTGGGGATGTTTGGGATATATGACCACCCTTCTCGTTGGAGACGCCCAAATCCACTGAGATTTGGAGACAAGCAGCACTGGCAGCATAAGCGCCGAAGTGCCCACGTCGCAGCGTGCTAGTGCTGTTGATGAGCTGATCCTCACATCTCATTTTCAGGCTCTGAAACTGCCCACGATGTGTCTTGAATGTAGCAGCTTGCTTTCAGGTTCCGTGCACGGGGCAAGCGGAGACAGCAGAATGTGCTGGTCCATTCCTTGCCCCCTCATTGTGTTCACTTCTTGAATCTATTGACTGGTGGGTTCGCTTCTCTCTCGCTCTCCCCATGTGAACCACTACGAACAATTTCTAAGAACTGCAAATAAGGGAGTGTGGGATTTTCCTGTCCATTTGATTCACCAGTATTTGGCTTACATAGCAGAGGGACTGAGAAAGCTTGTGCGTGGCCAGCTAGCCCTCCTCCCCAAACTGTTCTTAGACGAGCTTGGGCGCAGGGGAAGTTACCTGAGTTCCAGACTTGCTCACTTCTAGGCCTAATGTAGACCCCCAATTAATACATCCCTTCCTTTCCAGGGGCTTTAATATTAGGATCTCTATTATAATCCCTATTGAGGGTAGAGGGTTTACTAATGATTACTATTGACGGGTCCACATTAGCATGATCTGCATCTTTGTGCCACTTATTGCTTCAAAGTGCTCAATTCAGGAAAGCGCATGACAATCCGCAGGTCCAACAAAGTTCGCCCTGAAAAGCCAACATGTCCAACTCCTGTGCAGCCTCTGAGGTTTAAGTGCAGACAGCCACAAAGACCCCACACGTTACGTGGGTGCAACGCCGCCTTCCAACAAACCAACATGCGCGGTTGCTGCCATGGATCCGCCAATGCAATGAGGAGCTGCGTTGCCTGTGAAGTCAGCGTGACCCGCTAACTTCGGAGCATTGCAGATGCGACACCATTCTAATGCTTCCGGGGCCAGACAACGACGTGCAAATATAGACCAAGCTGCATTTCGATTGTCGCCAGCCCTGGCGGATGGGTGCACGAGGAACTCCACCACAACGCTGCCAGGTGTGATATCTATCACCTGCCCATCAAGTTCAAGGATTGATGGCAGTTTCCAGTCTTGCATTCCAAAACAGAGGGCACGGCCGTCAGGATTCCAGATGGGACTTCCAACGCCTGCAAACGACCGGTCAACACTGACTCTTGCTTGCGTTTGCAGATTTTGCCCATTCCAGCGCCTGCGCAACGCACTTGACGAACAAATGTCGGAATCTTGCCAATTCCTTTGAAACGATAACCTGAGCCATGAGACTATTCATAGCTTGCAACATACTACAAGAACATTATGAAGCAAAGAGGGTTTTTTATAAAAACCCTCAAGAACATTATGAAGCACTTGTCTGTTTGCAGGTCAGGTTCGAAGTCAGCTCCGTGCACTATCATCCAACCTGCTCACATAGCAACAACACAACGTTTCAAAGGTACGGGAGATGGGAAAGTGCTGTGGCAAAGGCCATGCTGAACAGCACGGGGCTGTGGCCATGTAAGTCAATGACAACACCACACCCTATAGGCCACGCTTGCATCCTCACTTCCCGAGGAGACAGTGACCAAAGAAATGAAGTCTCGACAGACGCACAAGCACACAGACAAAAAAGACTAACGGAGGCAGAAGTGGCTTCAGGGATGAAGAGCCCGAAGTTCAAAACACCAAAGAGATATATTGACACGTCCAGAAGCAACTCCACCTTTGAGATTGTTGGTAGTATCCAGTTACATTGAGCTCAGCTCATACCGCCCCCGGTGCTCTCAAGTGTGCAGTCAACAGCACTGCTTGAGATCTTTCACTATTATCACTTTGCTTGAATGCATGACTCGCACAGACGTTTGCTGTCTCAATTTCAGCATGCCCAGTATGGGTGGCGAACCCTACCTTAGTTCTATGTCTATGTCCATTAAATGCCAACCTCACAGCTTCCTTTTTCAAATACCATGCGAAGCCCCTTCAGGATTCTATCAGCCGTACTCAGTCGGTGTCGGCAGCACACCTCGCAACCGAAAGATTACCACACGCTCGCGAACACCACATGCCATTGAAATCCCGGTTCGGGGTGCAGCCGACCCGGGGCAACCTGACTTTGACATGACTTGGGCACAAACATACCAACAAACTTCATGTAAAGCATTCAAACAGAGTCCAGTCTGTTTGAGTAATTGCTCCAAGAACTGGCAGAAACCTTCTGCCCTGCAACCATGATATCAATTGAATGGAAAACCCAGGACCTTTCGTGCGCGTGCCTTGCCACTGCCCTGCTCCACCCCCATCAGTGAACTTCGTTTCGGAACGCAATTGTAGACGTGTTAGCAGTTGTGCAGCCGTTGCGTCAAAGCTTGCCTGATCCTTCCTGCGGTAAACCTTGTAAGTTGAACGTGGGATATTGCGGCTTTCACGGAAATTCAACCGTAATTTGCATCCGCCTTGGGTATCTTAAGTCACAGTCGTCTTCTCCCCCACCATGCTCCTTCAACGCACCCACCCCACCCCACACTTATGCTGTGATTTCGCTGCAGAACTCCAACGGACTTTAGGCCATACAGTTTCGCGCGGCAACGTATGCAGGGATGCAAGCATGGAGCAAATCTCAAACCAGACACCTAGTAGTTGCCCAAAACAGGGGACCCACAATGTAGACTCCAATATACTATAATTCTTATCATGGGGACCCCAAATCGTACTCCTAATTTTAGGAAACCCTAATCTCAATAATCCCTTATAGAAACCCAGTTTCCATGTCATTTTCCATTTTCTTTTCCATTTGATTCTCCATTATAGTAGGTACCCCTACTTTTGGGAAACCCTAAACCCTTATCCCTAAACCAAAATAGTAGTTTCCATTTTATTTTCCATTATCCCCATATAACCCCCCATATGACCCTACTCCCTAATTTTGGGAAACTGTGAACCCCACCTTTCGCAGGCTTGATGGCTGCTTTGGCCATCTCTTTCTCTTGAAGCTCTTGCTGGCGCGCACGGGACTTCTCCTCTGCCATCGAACATCTGGGTTTAGGGTTTAGGCTTAGGGTTAGGGTTTAGGGATCTGAACATGTCAACCCTTCTCGTACTGGTGGTTAGTCGGGAATGAGGGATACGGCCCCTACATGAGCTACAGTCAATATTTCTTACATACCTCATAGGACATGGCTTCCTTATTAGGGACTATGCTAGGGACTAGGGACTACGCTAAACTACAAGAGGGCCTATGTCCACTGTTAAGGGCCCTTCATGAGTCTCATACTGACAGTAGCTCATATAGTCCCTATACAATACTTTTCCAGGGGACTTATGCTTGAATTATAAGGACACTTAGAAGTAGCTCATGAGTAAGATTCCCCAAGTACTAAGCACCAAGTGATCTTTTGATCTCTAAGGTATTTGAGCTGTAGTCGAAACTCCCAGCATCCCACTTCATAACCCCTCTAATTCTCCCCTAAAGTTTAGACTCTAGCTCATGTGGCCTCTGGCAGCTAAGCTGTGAGAAGCAGATCACTGCAGCACCGGTCCTTCAGGGCCTCCGCGGCTTGCATCCGTCCCCCATCCTCCTGTGATGCTTAGGGGTTTAGGGTTTAGGGTTAGGGTTTAAGGCTTCAAAAAATGGAGCCTCCCAATCATGGGGATCATTTTGGGGGGTTCCAGTTTTTTGGGATCTCGAGGGGGTCTGGGCAACTAGCCCCTGCAATACTAAGAGTAATGGTAATGGTACTGGGAATAGTAGCAATATAGCAATAATACTGATCGTAGTAATTGCACCAAGTCTTACAATAGTAATGAACCCTAGACCTAATCTTCAGCATCAAAACATTCCGATGTTTAAGGCTGTCGCAAGGTCCTCGCTGCCTCCGAGCATCGCCTGGAGCAGCAAGGTCCCTATAGCGGGGCATACAGGGGACTTTTACAAATTTATGGGACTTTGTAAGGATTCCAGTGGCGCATTGGGATTTTATAGGCTAAAGAGTAAGTGCAGGCTGTAGAGAGTGGATGGAACAATCTTTCGCCAAGGCACCATGTGGGTAAGCTCCCCTTCCGTCAGCGTTCGGTTCAGAGGCCTCTTCGTGGGAGACACTACTACTACTACTACTACTACTGCTACTACTACTATTACTAGTACTAGTACTATTACTATTACTACTACCATTACCATTACCATTACCATTACTATTATTACTACAATTACTATTACTACTACTATTACTAGTATTACTACAATTACTTTTACTTTTACTATTACTGCTACTATTGCTATTACTCTCTTTACTATTGCTGTTGAGGCCTCTTCGTGGGAGACATTTCCGAGGCTGCACCGGCCTCAGCTCCGGAAGGAACCAAGTACCCCAAGGTTGCTCGCAGCAAGCACACAGTATATAGCAACTTAGTAGTTTCTATTGGATTTTTCTATAGTAAGATAGTAACTTCTATTCGATTCTTTGGTATATAGTAATATAAATCCTTGGTATATTATATAGTAATATGATAGGTTCTGTTTAAGTCTTTGTTTTCTCTTCCCATTTGATGCTGCGTTAGTGTGCTCACATCCCTAAACCCTACATCACAACTGCATACCTGTATACATCTTCATAGAATCCCTGGCGCAACTGAGCAGCCATGGCAGCGCGTTGCCAATCAGGGGCTGGTGGAGCCACGCAATTTGCTGGCGGCTGCTGTCCAATAGGCAACTCTTCATAGAGATGCCTTCCAAGTCCATGCCACGATGCGCATTAAGTCTGCTTTGAACCCTCCCATAAAGCACCACACACATTGCTCAGACGCAGCGCGATATTAAGCACAACGACGGAACAAAGGACAACTGTTTCCTGCGGTCTGGCCTGAACGTCGAACAAATCTCATCAATCTCATCTTGGCCGAAGATGCGCTCTTCTTTGAAGGTAGCCTGACCATGCGAAGCACATGAAGGGTCTTACAAAACAACCCAGCATGCCAATGCCTCGACGCCAAGGCGATTGGCGGCTTCACGGTATTGTGGCAGAACATCGGAAAGTTCTTCTTGCATAACCTCATGTTGGGAGAGTTCTCTCAAAGTAAACTGGGGTTCAACAGCCACTGCCAGCAGGTAGCCGCTGCAATGTCCTTTAGTCGGACGCATGCACCAGTACAACGACCAAGAACTTGTAGAGACAAAGTAGCCTGGGCTGGCATCACGCCTCTGGATCAGTAGGAGCATGAACATTCTGACATCGATGAGCAGGCTACACATTGTTACGAAGAGCGACTGCCTTTTGCCTTCGTTCCTCGTGCAATGGCATCTTCAACAGAAATCCCTCTGCACAGCAGCGGAAGTGGTGGTATGCTCACATCCATCCCCAGAAAATTTGCGGGGGCCAGCCAACTTTATCAATAACAGCTTGTCACGGTGTCGCTGTCCACCAGAAAGGCATAGGCATTTTCTGGATTTCTTGCAGGACTCGTGCTTGCCGTGGATCAATCTGAAAGAATTGTCTTCTAAACAACCCAATGCCCATAGCGTGGAGGCTGGAAGTATCGACCAGCCCTAGCTTCAAAAGCCCTTCGCTGTCAAGACTTCACACTTCAGATCCCCATTTGAGCTATAGTCTAAACTCCTAACATCCCCCTTAATTACCCCTATGATGGCCCCTAAAATTCTGCCCTACACAAATCCCCTATATAACCCCTTTAGGGAGTTTAGACTATAGCTTGCTTGCGTAAAAGATCTAGCGGGCTTCAGGACAAGTACAGACTTGTTGCCCACAAAGGCGCGAAGTTTGCAACTTCTGCAGCAGTGCATGTTCCACTGTGCGAGCTATCGAAGAGCGTCATGAAAACCTGAGTCATGAAGCTTGCTACAGACAAGCAAGGTCGCAGTGATGCAGTCGAGGCTCGCCACATTTTTCCGACAGCTTGGCAGAGCTGAACAAGCCTCATCAAACTGATCCAACAGGTATGCAAACAGCCGGGTTCTTGCGCTGCAAGGCCTGGACACACAAAACCCTTCTTTTGCGCAAAACATGTTGTGAGGCGGGGCACATACCATCACCAGCAACTCTCGACCGTCGATCAAGGCCTAAGCTACTGGTCCATGCTGAAGGTCTGAACTCGACAGGTCTAGCTCTCACCAACACGTTCATGCTTTCCATGCCTTGCACTGCTTCCCAGCAACATTCTGCTGGCTGAATGCATCGAAGATGAACAGCAAGTTGAACTCTGGCAGAAACAGAATCCTTAGCAAACCATGGGCACTTCACAGGACATACGGCAGCCCGTTGCGGCAGCCCGTCTCCCCTAAGCGTTTGCGAGGCTTTTCAGGAAAAGGCGGATCTTGGCCAGTACTTATTCCGCAGCCGGACACAGTGCAATTATGCTGCTCACCCGCATCTACATGGACGTTATCGATCTTGGGTCAATGGCTGCAAGCCTCCTTCTCGTGCCCAGAGGAAAATATTTTGCCTCTACCGCACCTATTGAAGTGCTGGAGCATTGCCGTGACGCCACCCCATCTACCGGCACATCAATGCTTAACGAAAGCCCGCAAGTGAAGCCTTAGATCCCAGAACCTGGGAAAAGGGAAAAAGAACTTCTCCGCTCTTTGGTCTGGCATCTCACCCAGCTCTTCATAGCTGATCCATCCAGAGTTGTCCACATCGATGTTTTTGTATCGCCTGCCGGGAGTCAGAAGCAAGCTTTCTATAATCCCTTCCCCTAGTCTTGAATAATCCGAACGTATACTGTGATAAGTGAAATACTAGAATGGGGAGTACTTATGATTGGGGGGGTGGGGGGGGGTTTAACATTGCGGGGAGGGGATGAGATGTTCTGTCATGCGGGTTTCTCATAGCGGGGATGCCTTGGCCTTAGGTGCCCCCCAGGATAAATTGGGATTGGTCACGAATTTGAGGGTGTCGTAGGAAGGACTCTCTAGAGATCACCTTTATGTGGGAATTTTATCAATGTGATCCTGTATGAGTATAGATACACATATGTACATATATGTATATGCATGTATGTTTATGTACGTATGTCATCCTTGATTGCGAGCCCTATACTCTCCTGACAATCCCTGAACAGGTCTTGGGGCCCCCTTCTTGAGAAACTCCCAGACATCTCGTCCATACGGCGGCCTGTACACCGCCCAAACATCACCTCAAAGCACAAACAAATGCTTGAAAAAAACACATGTTTCAGTTGAGTACTGCCCCCGTCCAGCAACGGCCTGTAACAGAGAACAAACGAGGCAGGAGCAATGTACTTCTATCATATTTATTTTCCAACTTTTACTGGGTAGGAGGTAAGCACCCAACATTTTAGGAAGGTGCAGCTAAATGACCATTGAAGTAAGCTCCGAAGAATCGTCGAAGCGTGGGTCCAATGTCGCGTTGGGCCCATGAGCTGCCTGCAGTGCCAAACAGCGACTCCATATCTGGGCTTGTCAAAAGTCTGGCCCCTTTTTGTGGTCCCGGCCCCTGAAGTCTAGGGTACCCGAAGAATGGCAGCATAACTTTGGCAAGCCCAATTGTCAAGCACGAGCATGCAGCATCCCAGAACGTCGCACCTGCTGCGATGCTCGGCACAACAGATTGCAAAGCTTTCACCTTCCAACATGCTGTCTGAAAGCTGGCTCATTCGTCTTAGCATGCGTGCATATCTTCAAGCAAAAGAGGTAGTTTCCCAAAACAGGGGACCCCGATATAGACCACAAAATGCTATACTTATTTTGGGTACGGTTGGTATGGGTACCCCCAAAATAGTACCCTGAATTTTCGGCAACCCTAAACCCTAAAACCTATATACATGTCCCTACAGTATGTAGCCCCATTAACCCCTTTACGTAAAGCTACCCCTTATTTGGGAAACCCCCCCAAGACTCGGCCCTTTGAGGTCCGGACAAAGCCTGACCCCATCACAGCCTCTGGCTGCACCGGCGCCTCACAGAGCTTGCCATGTCTTAGGTGGACCTAGAGAGGGATGTATGGGGTTATATGGATTTAACATAATTATATAGGGATTATGTAAGGACTATATAGGGTTTATATTGGGACTATATAGGGTTTATATACAGTTATGGCTCAAGCTTGAGCTTAGCGCAATGATGCTTTACCGATTTAGAAGAAGCAACTAACAGCTTGAATTCCTGAGGATTATGGAAAAGAAAATGGAAACTACTCTATATACATATATATATATATGTATGTAGGGTTGAGGGCTTGGGGTTTAGGATGAAGCACTTTCAGTTCCCCTCGTCTGGGGATCTGTTTGGAGAAGAAGCTGACGCCCAAGGATTCTTGGGGAATCAAATGCACTTGCACCAGTGCGAACTTGCCAACTAGGCCTATAGTCCCCCTTAAGTAGATAGAATATGGCTTTGGCCATACTAGAAAAAGATCCCCATATACCCCATATTAATTGAGGGGGACGATATGTAGAACGGATGCACAGTTGAATTCTACATTTGGGAGCCTGCACGATTCCCACCCACACGTATTACACCCCCATATCCACAACCTGAGGTAAAACCATGGAATTCAAGTGGATCGACCGACAGATAAGCGAGAAACATGGGCGCGCCAAGCCCCTTGTCTCCATCAACAGAATCCCAGCCAGTATGGAGCTGCACTCGCATACATCTAAACAGAAGCATTGCTCAGCCAGCCTGCCCCTACCCGTGCCACACGCACATGGCACGTTTCCCCTAGTTACTAGGCAGAAGTTAAAGATCAAATTGCACGCTCCATCAGCTGTGTATGGATCTTGTGTACGACCGAAGTGGTGACTGCAGCTTTAAGGGAATCGTACCTGAATTGTTTCCTTACCAAAACAGAAAAGAAATGCCATGCGGTCACTAAACTGAGAATCTTGCAAAGGATGCTAAGCTCATTCAAGCCAAACCAGATAGCAGCATCAACATGGACGCGTCACATGGCCAGCCAAAGCAAGTGAGGCTCATGGAAACTGCCAACTGTTAATATTGTTATTATTACTATTATTATTCATATCACTATTATTTTTAATATTGTTATTACTATTATTATTAATATTATTGTTATTACTATTATTCTTAATATTACTATTGTTATTACTATTATTATTATTTGCAGGTTGCAAAACCACTAAGCGTTCAGACATCAATCGCAGCCCGAGGCTGGCCGGAGGCGCGCGATTTTGTGTAAGGACATGTGGGACGCTTCTTAAGACACGGGTGTCCCAAGGGACACTGAGGATGTGTAGGGAAGTTGTTGAGGATTGTGGAAAAGGGGTGCTTATTCGAGATTGTATAGGTCACATGCAAAAACTTCCATATTACCCATCAATTGTTGACATACTGTGTGAGTGGCCAGCCAACCTCCCGCTTTGTGGTCCTGGGTAGGCTGCATGAAAGGTGCCCACATTGTTGGCAAACCAATGTTTGGGCCAAGTTGGCTGAGGGAATCCACAAGCGTAGATTCAAGCCTGTTTACGTCGCGCCTCACAAACGAAGGTTTCCAGAAGTAGGGGGTCCCTTTTGGGGGTACCTATAGTGAGGATTATTGTATCTTTGGGGTCTATGGTGGGGTCCCGTACTCATGGAAACTACCTCGAACTCTTCCTTTGCTGTTTTGCTGCTGGCTTTGCCAGATAGCCCGGCTTTGGAGCACATGCTCGCCTAGAAGCGGTGAAACGTTGATGCAGATTACCGACAGTACGCTAAAGAGTTTTTAGGGCTGCCTTGGCTGGTTGGTGAGTCAACACCACTAGAGCTACCTCCTGCGAAGAGCCGAGGGCTGGGACTTGGACTGGGACTCCCTAAACCTCCCAGGGAATCATCATCATCTTCGATGGCTGGAGGATTGGCCCTGTGGGCCTCTCCAGCTTTACGTATCCTCTCTTGAAACTCTGCTAGGGGAATTGGCTCTACACTGTTCCGTCGGTTGGTGGAGCGTACCTTTGCCACCAAACGAGCTGCACGTTTTCTACCAGCAGCACGCGTTTCGATCGACTGCAGCTCCTGCGCTGTAACCGTCTTTCGTCGATTCAAGAGCTGTGGCTTTATCTCTCCTGTACCATTAGGGTTTTGGACCCTCGACAAGGCCACGTTTCCCGGGTGGTCAATCTTTCGGGAGTGGTCTGCAGGCCTCCAAGGCGCAAGGGCCTTCTGGCTCTCACTCTCACGAAGGTCACGGTCAAAGTCCACAGTTCGCTTCCGCCGTAACGAAGACAACGTTGGCTTTGATAAGCTTGGCCCGGAATCAGACTCGCCGTGCCACCGGGGTAGGATTGCCTCATCTGCCAATGCGGGGAAGGCTTTGCCAAACAAGAAGCGTGTCGCGCGGCCAGCACGGTATGCTATGCGTTTTTCAATGTCAGTCTGCTCCTCCGCGCTTGCCGGCGCGGCCTCTTGTACAACTCCTTTCAAGCTGCTGCCCTTGCTCTTGCCCGGAGCAGGGATGATGCCAACAAAGTATGTCTTGGCTATCTTCTTGTTCGTCTTGCATGGCCGAGGCAGCGTGGGTATGGTCGGTGGCAGCCTCTTCTTGGACTTCACGCGCACAAGTGGCTCAGACTGAAGCTGCACCTCAAACACCCGCGAGGATTGTGTTGCCACATAAGGCGGCGAAAGCTCGACCATGCGCCGGCGAAATCCACACAACCCCGAACCGCCAAAACAGAAACGGCAAAGCAATCCTAGCAAGTCAAGCACATGGGAGTCCAACTGAATGTGTGCCGTATTCTGCCTTTGCTGGAATTTGGGTGTCGCTGGGAATATGGGCTGACGACTGCAGCTAAGCTAATGAGCAAGGGCAAGAAAGCTTCACAGCTGCAGGTGTGGGACCAAGAGCACATCCTGCTCACAGGCATACCATTGCTGATATTAAACTTGTCTGCTTGTCTGCTTTCCTTATATGACCCTATTATACCATAGTAGTTTCCATTTTCTCTTCCATTATCTCTACATAACCCCCATAACCCCTTTATTACATTGCCTCTTCCGTTATCACAATGACACAAGGCCTCAAAATCCTGAAAGCTGCTTTCTCTGCAGCGTGAGCTGCCTAGACTAATCACTTAGACCCTTTTAGCATAACATAGACCAGTGGGGTTATATTGGGATTGTACTGGGACAATATTAGGGTATGTTCGGGTTATATTGGGGTTATATTGGGATAATGGAAAATGAAACGGAAACTATTTACGGTTTAGGGTTTGGGGCTGTAAACCATGAATAATAAACCCCCTCCTTTCAAGGGCCTCAATATGAAGATCCCGATTATACTCCCTATTATGGGGGGCTTATTGACCAGGGGTCTGGGTTACTCTCCGCAAGCAACAAGCCCCTGAAGCCCGCGTTCTTCTGCGCAGATTCCGCCACAGCAAGGGTCAGCACACCAGCATCGGCGGCTCGCACCTGCGCAAATCACGCAACATCAGCCATGTTAGATGTCGCCGGGCTGGAGGAAAGATCCTGAGAACCAAGCTCCATTACGGGTGGGCCACCGGCCTTGCACCTGCCAAATCCAATGAAAGAATGCAGCTCGGCTGCCAGGCTTTGGCGGCCCGAACCTCTTGCGCGCGGCTTGTTCATCAACATGTTCGAACACTCGGTGGCCTGGGCATGTCCCACAAGATTTGAATCCGATCACTGCCACACAGAACAGCCTCTTTTTTCAAGTTGCATATTTACGGCCGACAATCAGAAACGAATTCACGAGTTGTGCAAATACTCGGGGGCACTGTAAGGCAACGCAGGACGTTGCAGCAAAGAAGTCGAAACGGACAAACAGCGAGGTCCACGGGCTTGCTAGATGGATGAGGCGGTGTGTCTGTCTCAGACTCATCCAACTCCATTGCCAGAAGAAAAGGGAGCAGCCAGTTCATGTCAGGCTTCAAGATTCAATGGCGTCCTGTCAGACTTCAGCTGAGCAGAATTATAGTCATGCTTCAGAGGCTATGCTGGATGAAATTTCAAATCGGGTACCTGTGGGACCCCACGGATAGGGGCCAGGACCATTGATGCCAAACTGTTCCACCCAACAGGCCCACACTTAGCCCCTCGTACACACACGGCAGCGGAGAAAACCGATGGGGCAGTGGGAACAGCGAAGATTAAGGAAAGCCGCCTAGCAGCCAGCGAACCCAGCCCAATAGGCGCCACAAGTCGCTGCATTCGCGCGGCAGGGTTGGGAGGCTCCGATTTTGGAGCTCTGCGCAGCACCAAAACAGCCCATGGATTTTCTCATTGAAGCAGAAATCCAACAGGCTGATGGAACTTGGCAGTCTCTGCAGATGGCGTGTAGCTGCAGTAGACAACGTGACAAGGTACCAGTGTCTGTTCTCTCCCTTGCTTTTTCGCTGCTGGCTACGCTGCGGAATCCGCGGACCTGGTCCCCAAGTTTGGGATCCAGACATCAGCACTGAAGAAACCATGTACACCGCATCAAATAATTCACATCGTATAGTTGCACCAAACCCATCCAGCTTATGTACCTAGCAAAAGGAAGGCGGGCTGGGACCCTGCACCAAAATTCTCTGCCCTTTGCTTTCCAACAGTTCACAGCGCACCCGCGGCCTGCAACCATCTGGGCCCCTGGCAGTTTCCAGTGTTGCGCCGTGCCATTCCGAAGGTGTCAAGCATGAAGTCCTTACAGGACCACCACGTTGATTTGAATGTGTACTGCACATGGGTTGTTCCCAAAATTATGGGCCCCTTTGGGTTATAGACTATATTATGGCACCTAATATCTAGGGGTACCAATATTAGGGCCTATTTTTGGGAACTACCCACATGACTAAGACCCACACCCAATCTTTGGATCGCCCTGCGAAATGGTGCAGTACGGCTGGCCTGGCTCCCGGGGCTGTACCCCTCCTCTGTAAGAAGAGGATTTTCGCAACCCCAAGCCCGAAAATTAGGACCCTCTGACTATCATATCATAGGATGGTTATAGGGTCCTAATTTTGAGGGTTGGGCTTCCCAAAATCCATTTATCACTCTACTTCGGACAGGTGCAAGAGGATAGGGACAGGGCTCCGAGAGACCCCGAGCTCCGACCACCTGAAGATATAGTACTATGGCAGTTTAGTAATACAGTAACAGTAACATAATAACAAAAAATGATATGGTCATATAATCATATAGTAATACAGTAATCGTTTGTGTTGCAGCAGCTGAATGCCAAAGCGCGCGGCGTGATTCACATCCACCAAACGAGGGTCGGCAAATCGAAAATAAAGCGATCTTCTTGCACCGAACGGCCCCTTGGCAAAGGGGCGCTGTCCACACCCTCCTGTATTACTACATGAATATATCAATTTCTGTATTACTATATGAAGTGCTATCTTACTATATTACGATATAACTATATAACTATACTACTCGAGAACTGCATTATTATATTGCCATATCACTGTATTACCATGTTGCTTTCTTACTATAATACTACTTTACTATGTTACTATATTACTCTGTTAGCAATGTTAGCAAAATGATACTGCAATGACATCCCTGGGCAGCAGACCGCGAGCCGCTCACTGGTACGCCACCAGCAGAGTGCATAGAGCGCTATCTGCAGAGTAATTCGGGTTAAGCGGGTTAAGGGTTCAGGGCTTAGGGTTTAGGGTTTCGGGAAAAAGGGTTAAGGGTTAGGGTTTCGGGTTAAGGGCTTAGGGTTTAGGGTTTCGGGTTAAGGGTTTAGGGCTTAGGGCCCAGGCTGCTTCCGTTACTCTAGTTAGCAGCATGACGTCTTACATGTCCTTCGAAGACAGGTCTCCAGTCACTCTACAAAACTTTACAGTTTAACCACGAGCACCCAAGACGGGAGACCGACTAAACAGTAATATAGTCATGTGGTACTATGGTAATATGGTAATGGTCAGGCCATAGTATGGTAATATGATGTACTATAACGTACGTCAACGTGCTGCACCTCATGGTTGCCCTTCGCGTTGGGCCACACATATTGCGCACATTCAGAATCATAACCTGCGCCGTGGTGTTGCTAAGAATTGTTTGGGGGTGTACAACATAATATTGGGTTTATATAGGGATAATGGAAAAGAAAATAGAAACTACTTGAATGGGGGATATATATATATATATGTATACATTTATCTACATATATATATACATATATTTTTTGGGGCTATATAATAATGGAAAAGAAAATGGAAACTACCATAGTGGGAGATACATATATATATATGTATATTGGGGTTATATAGGGATAAAGGAAAGGAACATGGAAACTACTATCTAGTATATTCGGATCAGCACAATTGGACACAACACACCAAACTTTCTCACACACATTCGCAACAAAAGAATGAACCCTAAACCCTGAACCCTAAACCCTGAACCCTGAGCCGTAGCGAAGATTCTGTACTTTGCAGCCCACCTTCCTCACCACGGGCTGTTGCCTGATGCTATGCAGGTGCCCCAAGCTACATTTCTATGCTACAAATGCCAAGCTGAAATCCAAACAATCTTGCATTCACCATGCCTCCATCCCAAGGACTTCCAGCACTGTCTCATCAAAGGCTCCCTGGTCTTTTTCAATGTTCTGCATCCAGGAAGCCTGCAGGCAATCTAAGCCCAGTTTCTGCTCTTGTCTTGTTTGGGGTGCCCGACCTTCTCCAACAGAAGGTCCAAGAAGAAGTGTCCGCGATCTGATGAGCGAATCAAGACGACCTCCATCCAAGCCACCCAAGCATGGCACTGTCAGCTGCCCATTCCGAGCAAGGCCCTCACTTGAAGTGTCAGTAGGACGCTCTTTTGCACAACACGAGCACGAACAATTGAAGCCGTTAAGTCTCGCACTCCGTTGTTCAAAGTCTGCGGTCGACCGAAATCGCGAGTTGCCACATCGGGGGCACTGTAAATGCCACCTGGAAAAGCGGTTGTGGCAGGCTTGCAAGATGGTTCAAGCCTGATGGTTCATCAAATGTGCCTGCGCACCTGCCCATGCTCCGAGCACTGCAGGAATCGACACGTTCCAACCTGTCATGTACTAGCCTAAACCACATGACTACTGAGAACAGTGAAGCCATTAAACTGGAGGCTGACATTCTGGTACCACGACTTGGTCAGGATCTACAACCAATAGTGCCTCCAAAGAGATCTTACTAGTTGCAATCCGGACGGCCAAGCATTGCACGTTCAGGCCAGCATTTCCTTGTAGTAGCCGAGGTATTTCTTGGCCTTGATCCGGGCTGGAAAACTGGCGTATAAGGTTTTGGGGAAGACCTCGCCCCAAAACTAGGACCCTATCATCAAGTATCAAAGACCATATCCGGATCCCAATTTCAGGGGTTGGGGTTGCAAAAAGCCTCTCATTAGCAGAGACTCCCGAGGCCGCATCTGTGAACCATCGCAACCAGTTTGGAGCTCGGTGATGCGGAGGTCGCACCTTCAGGCAGCAAAAACAAGACAAAAGAACCATCCCTTTTAGAATTTCACTTTCCATGTTTTTCACCCTTTGATTCACACGATTGGGCATACCCACTAGGTAACCCTACAATACCCTACATAAGCCCATATCCAGCATTAGCAACTGCCAGCAGCTCTGTCAGCTCTCTGTGAGCTGTATGTGCTGAGGGCCTCTGTGTCATCAGTCTCCAATATGAAAGCCAGGCCATGTCCTCTGTGGCAAGCGAGCTAGTGGGCTGGAAATCGCTTTGCCCTCTTGAGAAGCTCTACTTGTGCAACTTGCAAAAAAGTCTTGAGGCTTACAGATGCCTATGACAGCTAAGATGCCTGCGGAGCGCATAGCATCGCCAGAGGTTCAAGAAGGGCTGGTACGTCTGAAGCCTGGGCATGCAACATCCTGAGATCACAAGGAGTTAAGCATCTCACAACGCTCAGTCTCAGCCTACTGCATGACAAAGAGCTCATGCTAAACTAAACGCACACCATGTTTTACCATGGCACACATGCTCCAACCCAACTGCCTAGAGTCTACCTCTAGCAGATGTTGCTCTGCGAGTTCTTACTTCGCAAAATGTTCTTCCCGCAACAGCCTCTCACAAGATTGACAGAGTACCAGCACACCAAGGCTACGGCGTCAGACAGCAGGTTATGATGGGATAATGGAACAGAAAATGGAAATTACTATAATGGGGCATATATTGGGGTTATCCCGCGGTGATGGAAAATAGAATGGAAACTATTATTCATTTCAACAATGACTATCCAATGATTGGACGAGATTTCTGCGTACACAACCATAGGGTTTGAGATAGGATCATCCCCATCAAGTATTGGATTTTACGGCAAAATATTGTTTTGATGTTTCGATACAATGATACAACACTTTCGGATTTATGAGCCTCTTGCCTCTCACATATCTCCGTATCGACTTGTACAACCATAGTTAGGCACACAAATGTGTGTACATATATCTATATATATATATACACGACCCTAAACCCTAAACAGTAGTACATGTTCAACGTATGTATCAGTATTGGTTCCCAGTGTTATCCCCAAGTTCCCAAACAGGGTCATCCCAAATCCTCCAAGTAGCATCAGGGGTTTCCATTAACCGGTGGCCTCTTCTACAAAGTTCCTCTAATAATCTAATGGGGCATAAAACCCTAAGTTGTAGAAACTATCATCTAATAGCAATGATAGTAACAATAGGTAACAGTAGGAATGGCTACTCCCACGCTTGAGAGGAAGCTCCCTGAAGCTCTCGTGCTGTCAAGGCTTCCCCGTGGCTTGCCATAACACATCTGGGATTTCCTAAAGAGGTACAATTTTGGGGGGTCCTGTGAGAGGGATTATAATATTTCCTATATTGGGGTCCCCTTTGTGGAAATTACCACATGTTTTGTCCAGTCTGGGCTTAAGCGTTTAGGGTTTTGTGTTCAGAGACCCATTTATTCGTTCTGACTGCGCTTTTTCTTCAAACCAGGCTGCGAAAACAAATTCCAAGCCCGGGACTGATTAGGCGTTGCCTTCGCATGGGCGGGATATGTCTGCACCATGGATTATAGATGTACATATATATATATATACACGTATATGTACTCATTTATCTGTTTATATAGAGGACTAACTAATAGAATCTGATTGACAGGTGAACACGGTAAACTTACCTTCAAGAGCCAGGGCTGTGGCAGCTACTAGAATGGCAACTTGGTCAGCAAAGGCAGCTGTCGCATCCGAACCTGCCGGCTTCACCCTAATGCTGGGAGATGAGACTAGTTGGACAAACCTTTCGTAGCCTCACACAGGCTTGCTCCGAATTTGTTTTGACTTCAGGTTGCGCCTTGCTCTGCCACTCGCGAATGCGTCTGCTGTTGCAATTAAAGGGCGGGGCAGTTCACCGTCGCCACGTGATCGCTTCCAGGAGCAGATGTGCATCGGTCAGATCCCGGATCCAGGCTGACTGCGGTTCTGGGTTCTGAGGTGATGTGCGGTGATCAGAACAGCCTCCTAAAGGTGCAACGGACGCGGCTGACACCAAGAAAAGGCAAAGTATCGTAGATGACAAGCGAGAGCGCTCAGAATTCAATCTGCATCGCGCTATCTTTTTACGGGCTGGCAGCCCATGCAGCACTGGGCCGCTTAAAGACAAAACCAAGAGGGCACTGACAGCGTCAGCGCATAAATATGAACATCCGCGTAGCCAACCATTGATACCTAAGCACAACGCCGCGCCCATGCCTTTCACAGCCCTGATCGTGACCGTGACCGAATCTCATCAGGAACTAGCAGCCCCAACCCTATCAGGAGCAAGAGTAATGAGCACATTTTGTAGCCCATCCAAGAACCTTTGTCTGCAGCGCGCGTCAGGACCGCACGCGGAAGCCTTTGACATTCTCAATTTGAAATGAAAGCGAAACAGCAAGATGTAGGATGCAGGCGTCAATCTTGACAGCTCCTTCCGCCGAACCTCAACAGGAAGAGACTTACAAGCCCTCCTTTTCCCACAAACAAAATTGCTTGAGCTGAGCGTGGGACTGCCGCACACTGCTCACGCCTGACGAACACCTTGCCGACGAACACGTGCCAGCATTGGCCGAAGGAGGCGTTGCACACCGGCGCGACTACTGGCTGGCCGCTGGTTAGCTAGGAATGAAGGAATGGATCCTCATATTAGTCCATATATACCCAATGATAATTGTTTCCCCTTTATTCCCAGCTAACCAAAGGTAAGCTACTGGTATTACTATGATTACTATTATTACTATTCTTACGCGTATTATTATGGGCTACAGGGATTATACGCATGCTTACTAAGTCCCCCTGACCCTCCAAGTACTTTGGTTAAAGCCATCTCAGCGAGTGTATATACCCCCAGTTTCCACTTCATTTTCCATGTTCTTTTCCATTTGAATCTCTATTATTGGGGTAATACAATGTAGCAGTTTCCATGTTCTTTTCCATCTGATTCTCCATTACTGGTGTCATATAATGTAGCATTTTCCATTTTCTTTTCCAGTCCTTCTAAATTCTTGGTGTAATATAATCGTAGCAGTTTCCATTGTCTTTTCCATTCCTATACCCCCTAAACCCTAAACTTCCCTAAACCCTAAACCCTAAACCCTGGGGATCAGGCCATCTCAGCGAGTCCACCGGCCTTGTCTGAAGCAACGGCCTGAGCCCATGCAGCAAGGGCAGGACGATGAGCCGGCACAGCACTCCGTGTGGGTAGTTACCCCAAAATTTTTGAGGGTACCTTTAACGGGGGATGTAGGGGTTATATAGGGTTTTATATAGGGGTCATATAGGGTTTAGGGTTTCCCATGCGCTCCCGATGCTTTGACGGAAAAGCGAGAACACGGAAAATTGGCGCGTAGGCGCCGCCAGCAGCTTGGCAGGGAAGTCCAAGGAGGAGCGTTGTATGTACAACTTTCCGGGTTTAGGGTTTAGGGGTTCAGGGTTTAGGGGTTCAGGGTTTAGGCTTTAGGGTTGTATACTTATGCTATAAGTCTGGTCGTTGCCTAGGATGTGTTCGTGAAACTACTCCGTGGCATGCGCAAAGGTTTAACCAGCGTGGAGGAGAGGGGCCTGTTTTATGATGCTAATAGCAAGCTGCTACAAGGGTAGTTCCCAAAGTTAGGGTCCTATTTTGGTACCCCTAAATTTTAAGTGCTGTAGTATAATCTGTAACCAAAAGGGGCCCACATTTTTGGGAACTACCCATGTCTCTGACGACTGCTTGGCCCCCTGCCCATTCAGGCATGACCTCCTCCAGGAAAGCGTATGCGCGCACCAACCTCAGGCAAACCACTGGCACCATCAGTTTAGAGGAACCAGCAGGGAGCCGCAAACAGTTGCCAGTGTGCTTTGCTGAGCACGAGGCAGGAGAAGCGTTTGAGTGCAGCGCGCAGTATCTTCGATCTCAGTCACAAGGCCCTCCAAAAGCGAGCAGCAGGCGGGTTGGAAGCTGACAGCACCTGCAATCTGCAAACTCCACTGGCCTGCAGCAGCAAAGCAATAGCACAGGCCTGCCCAGCGTGAGGTACACAGCTCGAGCACTACAACTTCAGTCAACAGGTATTATTTCAAATTGCACCATAATCACATCTGACATCTAAAGCGCAGACAACATTCAGCAATGACAAGCCTCGACCGGGCAAGAAGAACACAACTGCAACAACGCAGCGACCCCCGCTTTCCAAAACTCATTCCCAATGTGCTTCAACAGGTTATACCGGATATGGCATAAGGCCAGGCCCTGGACCAAAGCCCCCAAAAAAGAACCAGAATTATCAAACAAAGAACCTAGCCCAGACTCTTGCAGAAGGCAGAAGAAGATAGAGGCGCTGCTCAAGCACTTGAAAATATGGGCTCAGCTATGGAGATGAACCCCTTCCCCTTACCGACGTCTCTGCTACTCCACAATTGCTATCCAAACTCGAAAGCGGAGACTGCAGTGGAAGGAAGCCTCTGGGCAAAAGCCACAAGCACTCCCTTCAAATGCAGTACCCACGAAGTTGTCGGACCTAGGCTGCGCCAAAACAAGCTTCTGCAGGGATGTATATAGGAACCATATATTCGGGATATATTGGGGAAAGGAAGAGAAAATGCAAACTTCCATGTGGGGTTTAGGGTTTAGTGATGCCAATATTTGAGAATCCATTGGAAAGGAAAAGGAAATCAAATGGAAACTGGCTTTATTTAGGAGGCGCATAGGGATCATCATAAATAACTACCAGCACTATTTTGAAGTCTACTCAAGGTAGCCTGTACCCATAACTATATAGGACCATGATATTGGCAATTATCCCCAAGAATCCATATATGTATATATATATATATGCTACCCCCCCTCAAAACCTACCTTTTATTAG